GGTTTCAACGGAGCTGCCGGATCATCTAAATGACGAGTGCTTTTTATTATTATTTCTGGGTTCCTTGGGTTCACAGAGTAATAAGTATTGAAGGAGGTATGTTCTAGAATGTATAGAATATATTCATGGGTACATATATATGTTATAGAATGTATACAAGATGAAAATGAGATCTATCTCTTATCAACACCCCCGCAGTCTTAAGTAGGTGTAATCTAAAATTAACTAACATGGGCTTGAGCTAATGTAAGATCCTCCAGAAGAAGGCTCGAGCAAAGCATTAATATTGTATGAAGACTTCGTATCGGGGCGGACCATTCGGAACTCTTTCCCCTACCGCGTAACCATTATTTTCTAAGAGTATGACGAAGTGCGATACTGCGATACATCCACGCGATGCAAGGGGGGGGGATATGGTTGAAGGGGGGTTTAGGGGGGAATGGAGGAGTATATTCGAGGTTAACCCTAAGAGCTCCACCAAAAGAGTCTCGACCTTTTTCTCCCCAAGAACCAAACTTGTCGAGGCTTGGCAGTGCCTATTTCCAGGGTCTTGGAAAGATGGTTAACGTCAAGAACCCCCAATTTCGATGGTTTAACCTACTTTTGTATAATACATTCCTATATAGCTCGAGGGAAGAACTAGGTCTAGACTTGGATCTCCAAGTCAATGTCCAAGTATCTTCAAAGTAGCTCCAGTAAGTTCAAGTAGTTCAAGTAGTTCAAGTCACTAATGAATCATGGAGGTGCCTGGTGCCTTTTGAATAAAATGGAGACACGCGGATATCTGGTGAAACACTTAATGATTCGCATCGGTAGCCCCGGAAGGTCTTTTGAGTTCCTGTTGAGTTCCTGCCTTTTTTTCCTCTTTACTCTTCTTGACTCTTTTTTTGCCCCTCGCTTCTCCGATAAGCCTCTTCTTCTTCTCATCGTCACCATTTTCTGTTTCTTTTTTATATCCTCGTATTAGTATATACCCTTATATACTCACCCTTTTTTCCTTTTTTGTTCGTTTTTTCCTACCCGGCTGATCGGATCTCTATTTCTTTTCTTTATCTTTTCTGGAAATATTTCAAGAGATGATCGCGATCAGCTAACGACCTTCCCTTTTCTCTTATTTCTTACATTTCTTACATTCTTGACCTCTTCTCCCCGCCCTTGCGTTTGGGATCCTAAGTACACATTCTATTGCCGCCCCTCTTTCTCTTCCTTCTCTACCAGAGTAAGCGCACCTTCAAATCGTACGTGTTGGATCTTTTTCGACTCTCTTTTGGTCTCTTTTCTCTCTCTCTTTTTTTTGGCCCACTCAAGTAGTGTTCAGGTTACTGAATTTGCGCAAATGTTCACAGTCAATCCGACCAGACGCCGCGTCTTGTCTCCGATTTCTCCGTAGCGCTGCGGTTTTTACGACTCGACATAGAGACATAGATTCCCAACTGGTCCTGGGGTGATTTTTCCGATCGGATTGTCGGCTTTGCGACTGGTGGTCAGGAACATTCGCATTTGGCTCTCCGAAGACCTGACATCACTTCCGCCTCCCACCCTCTTACGTCGCTATGGCTTCCTTTCTCCCTGTCAACAACTCGGCCCCTGAAGACCACGCGATGGATGGAGAAGCTACACCCCGTGCGGTCCCAAATGGCGTGCCGGTAACACCGGACGTTTCTTCGACCGAGCAGTTTCCGGACAGAGTTTCACACCACAGCCGCAGTAGCGACGCTTCATCCCGCACAACCTTGACCCACGCTCGAACCCCGTCAACATCTGACGAACACATGCACGATTCCGAGGGAGAACAAGACGATTCCGATCATGATCAGAACATAGGGAGTAACGCACCGCCCTCGAAAAAGAAGAAAGGTCAACGGTTCTTCTGCACCTCTTTCCCTCCTTGCAATCTGAGCTTCACCCGGAGCGAACATCTGGCTCGCCATATTCGAAAACATACCGGTGAACGTCCCTTCCAGTGCCACTGCTCTCGCCGGTTTTCCCGACTCGACAACCTCCGCCAGCATGCTCAAACGGTTCATGTTAATGAGGAGATTCCCGGGGATTCGCTAGCGGCCACGGGCACACGGTTCCAGCGCCAAGTCCGTACAGATCGAGTGCGGCCACCAGGCCGGGCGCGGGCAGGTACCGGGGGCAGTGTTGGCGGTCATGTCCGAGGTCATAGCAGGAATTTGTCAACCTCAAGTATTACGTCCACGGCTTCGACATTCAGCCAACCTCCGGAACTTCGGCGGCGCCCGCCACCTTTGATCATGGCCAACGACCCCGCAGCTCGGTCCCGACTGGCAATGGATTCCATGGGAGAACCTCCGAGTACACCCCCGGCCCAGATCCGTGGCGCTCCTGGTCCCTCGACAGCTGGATCACCATACACCCCCTCCAATATGTTTGCTGCTACTGGTGGGAGCCCCCAATTTGCTTCGCCCATATCTGGTACAGCACATGGGTTCTGGGAAGGAAAGACAGCTGCCCGTCGTCTATCAGTGCCGACGAGCAGCAATCCTTTTCTCGCTCAGCACGGCAACGCATATCCTCCGGCATATCACACTCCCGCCGGCGCGCCTTATCCAAACGCGGCTGGCGTGTTTGCAAGCCCCACTAGCACACATTACTCTGCATCTCGTGACGAGGGCACCCTAAGCGCAGCCGAAGCGGAGATGCGGAGGAGAACGTGGCACCCTTCGTCGTACACAGGGTTTCCACGTCCTGGAACCAGTGGGCTAAACCAATATCATACACCAGACAATGTACCGGCCTCATTCGGCACCAACGGTTCGACCGAGCATCCGCCCCGACTCCCCGGAATTGAGAGTTTCGACAAAGTAGTCCAACGGCCGATGACACCACCCACCAGGAAAGCCAGCCCTATGCAGCTCGATGGCCACCATCGTCCACCACCTAACCCAGCCTTTGGATCTGGATTCAATTACGCACAGCCAGCTCACCGTCCACCACCCCCAATCTCCGGCCCTGGTCACCGACGTGGCCATGTGTCCTGGGATATGTCTTTGCATCATAACCTAACCGGACTGGATATCCGAGACCGACGCCCATCCACTGCGTCTGCTTCACAATGGGGTCAACAAACGCTCGCGGAACTCCAAAATGTCTCTTCCCGCCCGTCGTCATCTTACCAGCCTTCATTTGGCCCAATGGCCGAAAAAAGCCCGGAAGAGTATAGGGGACATCGCCCGAGCCTTTCAACGGGGAGCCGCACGCGAACCTCCCCCGAGGATTCCAGTAGCAGCGAGGGTGTGCATACCCCATCCACCGCATCGCTTGAGTATCATCCCGCGATTGTGCACAGCAGCGGATATATCGAATCTCATGATTCCTCACTACCTTCCGAACACCCTTCACAGGTAGGAACTCCTGTTCGAACGGACGGCTATCGCCCCGGTTGCTAACGCCGTCATAGATCTGTGGCCATCAATCCTCCCACGCGGACGGCTATGAAGCCCACAACGACCGGGAGCCCAGGCCTGACGTCTTCTCAGACTCTCCTGCCCGAAACTCGGGCATGGGTCGCCTGGAAGCTCTAGTCGCCGTCGCCACAAGCGAGAACAAAGGAGCAGCCAAGCTATTTCTGTAAATTGTCTGGACAAAGCCCTCCTGTTCTGTACCATTCTACACCATTCTACATATGAAGGTCATATTCGCTTCCTGCAACTAGCTGGAGAGCGATCATCATATACTTGGCATTCCACCTTCCGTCTATCTCCCACTCCCGATTTACAGCCACTCTTTGCGCCCACCCTACTTCTAACATTCAGCCCATTGGCCTTTCCCGGCTCTTCCAACTCTTTCTTATTCATATATTTCGGGGATTCTCATATTTGCCATTTTGTGAAAGCGAGACCCTTGATGAACTGACGACTTTTGACGACAACTGATACACGACCGGGAAATCTAGCCCATCCTTCTTTTACCTGTGTTCGGGGGTCTTATATTTGTGTTTATGAATTTTTTTTTTCAGACGGTTCTGGATAGCAATCTTTTTCGGATGAATTCTTAGTCCTGAGCTGCATGTCTCGGCGTTCGCATGGGAAGTTTGTGTGAATGGAGTCATGTGCATGACGATACCCTATCGATCATTTGGTTCCTCTTTCATTTTTGGTTGTGGTCCACGGTGTGACTTGAGTGTTGCATTTCGCTCTCTCTATCGGTGGGCTCTTCATCTATCCCATCCCAAGTCCCTTTCCTCTCTCTACCTTCTCATTTCGTTTTGTGTCTTACTATATTTTTGGGGGGTGGACCATGTCTAACGCTTTAACGGACTATAACTATGGAAACTTTTGATATCTTTTATGATCTGAATATGACTGGAATGCATTGATGCTGCTTTTCTTCTACTCACAATTCACGTACAAATCTAATCAAAGGAACCCTTCAAAGATCACGCAAGCATACACCAAGGGGTTTGAGAATGGAGCATTGGGGCGGTGAGCTTGATTGTAAGGATGCGGAGTAGAAGATCGGAACCATTACCATATTGTATGAATTGTACATTGTAAGGTCTAGAAGTTCTGCTCTTCTACAACCACAGTCAGCCAGATGTGGCTAGTAAGAAAACCCACAACCCCAGAACCGGATAGGCAATGAGGCAATGACTTGTAGGTGACGTCGACGGGAAGTTTAGCTCTCCGGGACTGGGCCTTGGTTTGTCCCCACTTGTAACCCTGTACGTTTCTTATGTTGAAAAGAGTATTGTAGACATTCAAAAGGGATTGAGGGATTGGGGGGTTGGAATACTTATTGAACAAGATCCAGCAGTCAATTAATATGTCAAAAGTAAAATAGCATTTGAGAGGGGAAAAAAAGAAAGAATGAAAATACATGGTAGAGGCAAGTTCTAGGACATGCGGACGAGGACTGGGAACAAGACGTCATAGTCGACTCGTTTCCTCGGTCTTGAGAACTACCTATAAAACCAAGGATGCTCCGACCTGTCAACCCCAGCATTTACTTCAATTACATACTCTACATCTTCTCCTCCCAACACTCCATTCCACTCCATATCATGTCGAAGAACCGGGTTCCATTGTATCTGGGTCTCGCTGCGGCGGGCGCAGGCGGTTACTACTTGTACTCTGCCGGCGGCGATCCTTCAGCAGCAAAGCACCAAATGAGAAGTACGTGCCCTGTCTGACCAATTTCCACAATGCTATTGAATTGCCGGTCCATGGAGCTGACTCTCCTCCACTCTAGTCGACGCTGAAAAGGCACGAGAGAAGCTCCCAGGTACAAAAAACGCCGAGAAGTTTGGCACGGATGTCGGCAAGGAAGCCGGTGCTAATGTCGATGATGCTGTAAGTCCTATTTCGTTCATGGTGTCAAGTATCCGTCCTGGATACTCTATATGATCACAACTGGAGATAATATGACATCAAATACTAACCATCCCGATTCTAGATCACCAGAGCCCGCGCCGAAGGCAAGGACTTAGCTCAGGGGAGCAAGGAAAAGCTTGATGGGCTCCGTGAGGAAGCAAAGAACAAGTTCAATGCCAATCGGGATAAGATCAACAGCAGTGTTGACGAGATCGATCGCGAGGTCGAGCAAAAAGCGGCTGAAGCCAAGGGTGCTGTCTCTGGCTGGTTGGGTGGCAAGAAATAAGCTTCTTTTCGCCCGACGATTTAATGTTATTATTTTTATTACGGCGCTGGTCGGTTCGAGAATATCATGAAGAATTCCATGTCTATGAAACTTATGTGTGTATCGTGTTGTATATGTCAAGTGTAGCTGGAGTTCATGTATGCCCAGTATGCAATGCATCCGGTGTTGGTCTGCCCAGGGCGCGTCATGAAACTGAGTATTGTTATCCAGTCTCGGTATTGCAGACCAATTGAAGACCAGCTTGGAACTAGTTTTCTGCCATGCATTGGAGCGAAGCAATGTCTAGGCGCTGAGCTTGGACACACTGACATTCCAATGCTGGAGTATTACCGTAGTGACGAGAATGCCTAGCCTTGGAGCTTTTCTTGTAATTTATACTCAATTTTTTTTCTAGAATTTATTATATCAAGACCTCTCTCTCTTTTCAAACGAGTATCCTTATATTCCATACTTAAATTGAAGTTCATATAGTTCCCGCTCACGCGTTTCCATTTAACCCGAAACGGCTAGTGTGGTTTTTTCAACGCGCCCTCGAACGCGTCTCTCCTTTGCACCTTCTCTGACATCTCCTCCCACTTTCCACTTTCCACTTTGTGCACTTTCCCACTTCTTGTTTGTTCTAATATTTCGGTATCTCTTACCTTCCCTATTATAATACAGTTATATCCATCGCCCTTTCTTCATTTATCCTCCCTCGACCGACAAAAAATTTTCAGCAGTCGCGATGCCGCGCACCTCCCGGTCAAGCTGCGTTGCCCAGCCAGCCATTCAAGCCTTCACTCGGGCAACTAAAGCCGGAATTACTCCGCAGCTGCCTGCAAAAAAGATAGCATCTCTTCCAGCCTCGCCTTCCAAAAAACGCAAACTGCAGGAACTCGAAAACTTCGATAACGGTAGCAGACAGGCGCCCATTGAGGAGGAAGGAACACCCTCGAAAACTTTGCGACTCAATGAATTATCCGTTTCCTCACCACGCAGCGGCCACTATGTATCTCCAAAGAAAGCCTCGCCCGCGAAGACCCCGAGTCGAACCCCGAGTCGACGGGTTGCCCCTGTCAAGAAAGCGCCCTCGACGCCCGCAACCCCTTCAAAGCAACGAACTCTGGACTTCGAGAAGGTTATTCCAGTGCACGAGGAAACTCCAGTTATCGAGCGGCCTGCGTTCTTCAACGATATTCTCAACCTTCACTCCTCCTTTGTGCAGGCTTTCTCCATTCACATGGCCCACAATGGCGCAAGTACCCCTGCGGACCTCCGAGAATTCCTTGGCAGTGTAACCCGCCTCTGGAATAAGCGTAAGGTGCAGATGAAGGACTTGCAGCGTCTTGTGTGGGTCTGGGAACAGAGTTCGAAAGCGAAACACATTTCGTATCGTCTGGCAAATTATGGACTCGGCAAAATTTGCATGGAGCGCACCGTGCAGGTCAATGTGCAGCCTCCAGCTTTACAAGATTCTTTCGAAGAAACCTTGGACTTGCTGTGGGAAAAGGCTCCAGAGGCCCTTCGGGATGCCAATGAGGAAAACCAAGCAACTCTATTCATCGAGTCTCTCGGTCTCTCCACAATCCACGAGTCGCTTACCCCTTTCACTGTTTTTCAGAAAGGCCAGCAACGACTTCAGGATCTGAAGGGCGGTCTGCTCCGCTTGAAGGCCGAGAGAATGCGCTCAGAGTCAGCAGAGACAACTCCCCTCGAGCGGACGGCAACGATCAGCCGTCGCCAGGGCCTGCTGGATCGCATTAAGAACAAGGAGCTACGCCAGTCCAAGCTCCCTCCCCCGCCTGCTAAGAAGGAACTCGTGCGACGTGCAGCCGCCGATCGGGTCGAGGAGGTAGCTGGGATTCTGGCCCTGTTGCGTCCCGCAGGGTATGTGGGCAATGGTATCAAAGCCATGCTTGCAGCCCAACGCAAGCCCTTCAAGCTCGATGTGATGGTTGAGCATGTCCGTGACTCGGTCCGCAGCGAGATTCCTTATGAGGAGGTGGAGATGTGTCTTGAGATTCTGTCGGATACAAAGGTGGCTGGTGACTGGATCAGTATGGTTACTGTTGGCCAGATGAAGTCGGTCGTGTTGAAGTCTTGCAAAGATGTCTCTGCCAAAGATATCGGGGCGAGAGCCGCCCAGCTGAAGGCTGACTGGGAGAAATCTGCGTCTTGTGTGCAGACTTCTCTCTTGTGATTTACGTTTTCTTTTTGGCTTACTCTTTTGTTTTTCATTGTTGGATACCTGCTCGCGGTTTTGCATCAGCGCTCGATACCCTGTACTCTATCATATGTCTATTAGCATTAAACACTACCTTAAGTAGTACTTAGCAATTAGGTCCTCGGACATCCAATCATAATACCATTACTACAAGAAAAGTCAAACGTTTATATGGATTCCCCTTGGTAATTCTTCCCCCCCCCCCAAATTTATTTAGTAGTCTTTCTAGACGTCTTTCAACCCTCGTTAGTTTTATGGCTAGACAAACTAAAAGGTGATACAACACATAAAATGAATGTATATATTACTTTCCCTGTGTATAGCCAAAAAAAATAACCACCGAAATTGGGTTTTGAAGAAACCTCTAAAAACCCCTGGGAATACGGAGATCCCACCCACTTAACGCGCGACGCGTGCACGGACCACGCGAGTTCTGGCAGCGCGTCGAATTCGACTCGTCCAAACTACCTTGATACCAGCATTTGCATTGTCCTTTGCTGCATTTTTTCCCCCATCAACCGACACCATGTCTTCCCGACCTGACTTGAAGGTATTAATCGAGCTATCAAATATTCCCCAAACCTACCAATACAGCATCCACTAACTCGAACACTGAATCGATACAGGTCGACGACGAAGTCGGCTTCATTGGTTTCTACCGTGGCCTCCCTACGCCCGATAATGATGAAACCATCCGCGTATTCGACCGAGGCGACTGGTACTCCTCGCACGGCGCCGATGCCGAATTCATCGCACGCACCGTCTACAAGACAACATCCGTGCTACGCAACCTAGGCCGCAGCGAAACAGGCGGCCTCCCCTCGGTCACAATGAGCGTCACAGTCTTCCGAAACTTCCTCCGCGAAGCCCTTTTCCGACTGAACAAGCGCGTCGAGATTTTTGCCTCGGCTGGCTCGGGAAAGAGCAACTGGAAATTGGCGAAACAAGCCAGTCCCGGTAACCTGCAAGACGTAGAAGAAGAGCTCGGCAGCGTGGGTGCGCTGTCAATGGATTCTGCACCTATTATTCTCGCCGTGAAGATCTCCGCTCGTGCAGCCGAGGCCCGGAATGTCGGCGTGTGCTTTGCTGATGCGAGCGTGCGCGAGCTGGGCGTGAGTGAATTCCTCGATAACGATATCTACTCCAATTTCGAGTCGTTGGTTATTCAGCTTGGTGTGAAAGAGTGTCTTGTGACCATGGACGTGGCTCGCAAGGACGTTGAGCTGGCGAAGATCCGGGCTATCGCCGATAGCTGTGGGATTGCTATCTCTGAGAGACCTGTTGCCGACTTCGGTGTTAAGGATATCGAGCAAGATCTTACCAGATTGTTGAGGGATGAGCGGTCTGCCGGTACGCTGCCTCAGACGGAGCTGAAACTAGCTATGGGGTCTGCGTCGGCGCTGATCAAGTATCTTAATGTCTTGACTGATCCTACAAACTTCGGCCAGTACCAGCTCTATCAGCATGACCTATCGCAGTATATGAAACTTGATGCCTCGGCCCTCCGTGCGCTGAACCTTATGCCTGGCCCGCGGGACGGAGCTAAGAGTATGAGCTTATTCGGTTTGCTGAATCACTGCAAGACACCTGTGGGGAGTCGTTTGTTGGCCCAATGGTTGAAGCAGCCTCTGATGGATCTGGCTGCGATTGAGCAACGACAGCAGTTGGTGGAGGCATTTGTTGTTAACACTGAGCTGCGTCAGACGATGCAAGAAGAACATTTACGCTCTATTCCGGATCTTTACCGGTTGGCTAAACGTTTCCAACGGAAGCAGGCCAACCTGGAAGATGTTGTCCGAGCATACCAGGTTGCCATTCGTCTGCCTGGATTTGTGAGCACGCTAGGTGATGTGATGGACGAGCAGTATCAGACCCCTCTAGAGACGGAATACACGTCTAAGCTCCGTGGTTATTCGGACAGTTTGGCCATGCTCGAGGAGATGGTTGAAACAACAGTGGATCTTGCTGCCCTGGAGAATCACGAATTCATCATCAAACCTGAATTCGATGACGGTTTGCGAGTCATCAGAAAGAAGCTGGACAAGCTGCGATACGACATGGATATGGAACACCGCCGAGTTTCTAAGGATTTGAATCAAGACATGGAGAAAAAGCTCTTTATGGAGAATCACCGTGTGCACGGTTGGTGCTTCCGTCTCACTCGAAATGAGGCGGGTTGCATTCGCAATAAGAAAGAGTATCAGGAGTGTTCGACGCAGAAGAACGGCGTATACTTCACTACATCCAACATGCAGTCCCTTCGCCGAGAGCATGACCAACTGTCCTCGAACTACAACCGAACCCAAACTGGTCTTGTTAACGAGGTCGTCAACGTTGCCGCTTCGTATTGCCCGGTTTTGGAGCAACTCGCCGGTGTACTGGCACACCTCGATGTCATTGTAAGCTTTGCCCATGCTTCGATGCATGCGCCTTCCGGATACGTTCGCCCAAAGATGCATCCTCGGGGAACTGGAAACACCGTTCTGAAGGAAGCTCGGCATCCTTGCATGGAAATGCAGGACGATATCTCCTTTATTACAAATGATGTTTCCTTGATTCGCGATGAATCGTCTTTCCTCATCATCACTGGTCCCAACATGGGCGGCAAATCCACATACATCCGACAGATTGGTGTGATTGCACTCATGGCACAGACCGGCTGCTTCGTCCCTTGTACCGAGGCCGAGCTGACCATTTTCGACTGCATTCTTGCTCGGGTTGGAGCCAGCGACTCGCAGCTCAAGGGCGTATCGACATTCATGGCGGAAATGCTTGAAACATCCAACATCCTCAAGTCCGCCACCTCGGAGTCCCTGATCATCATCGATGAACTCGGCCGTGGAACTAGCACATACGACGGCTTCGGCCTGGCCTGGGCTATCTCAGAACATATTGTCACTGAGATCCGCTGCTTTGGCCTGTTCGCAACTCACTTCCACGAGCTCACTGCCTTGGCAGACCGATATGAAAAGGCCGTCAAGAACCTGCACGTCGTGGCCTTCATTGGAAACGGCAACGAGGGCGAGAGTGAAGCTGAAACCGAGGAAAAGAAAAAGCGCCAGGTCACCCTTCTCTATCGTGTGGAGCCAGGAATCTGTGATCAGTCTTTCGGTATTCATGTCGCCGAGCTTGTGCGCTTCCCGGAGAAGGTTGTCAATATGGCCCGTCAGAAGGCTGAGGAACTTGAAGATTTCACCTCGGCAACAGCTGAAGATGGGCAGGCACAGCTTCCTGCCCCCTCGCTTGACAAATACTCCCAGGAAGAGGTGGAGGAGGGCAGTGCGCTCCTCAAGGGAATGCTACTGAAATGGAAGGCGGCAACCGAGGGCAAAGAGATGACGACGGAGCAGAAGCGACAGGTCATGCGTGATCTGGCTCAAGCGGATGGAAAGTTACAAGCAAATAAGGTGTTCCAGGGTATCAAAGCTCTATAAGGATGTGAGCTGTTCACGGGATTTGGCGTTCACGGAAGGCATGGGTTTGAAAAGGCATTGCTGTGTACTCATCTTTTTACATGTAAAGATGGACTAGAATTATATTTTCTATTATAATCTCTTCTGGATTCTCCTTATAGCTCTCCTATAAAGCAGCCAACAGGTTGCCAACGTAGTTGTATACTCCGTTAATATACGCCAGTCACGTGTAGGTCGGTCTAGATGATCAACGCGGGATGTGACGAAGCAACTTTATTCCCAAATCCAAGTTGTCGTTCTTTTTATTATCTTCAATTCGTTCCTTCGAGGCTTAACCTTACAAGAAAAACATCTAATCCTGGACTTGTCCTATCGCTGTGCCTCTAAACCACCCTCGACCACCTCATCTAGCTATGCGCGCAAGCTAAACGCGGACGGCCTGAACCACCTCGATTCATGCACCCCTTTTCCGTTCTTACTCTTGGGATCTTCGTCGCGGGCTATATTACCGCCAGGTGGGACCTTGTTACCCGTCTATACGAATTGGCCATCTTCGCCTGGGATCACGGTGTCGTGGTATGTCTTCCATCGGCCTTCGGCCATCGATCCTTGGCTCCCCCTCCGCTTGCGACTTTACCAGCTTGGTGCCAGCGCACATTATATTTGCAACGTCGCTAATTTGCTTCATATTTAGACACGAACTGCGAAAGGATTTTTGTTTCTTTCCGTCTTCTTTTTCCTCCTCGTCCTGCCGATTAATCATCTCGCATCTAAGGAGGGTCAATTGGTGAGTAACACCGGAACAACCAAAGCTTTGGGCAGCGATCGAAAGGTCAAAGCGCTTGGTGCTAGCCTAGGAATATTTGCTGACGACATTGAGGGATATATAGCATCCGCGCCACGTGAATCTCGGCGTCTCCGCGCGCGAACAATTGCGCCGTCGAGGTTCGTTCTGAGACTCGGGTGAATGATGACAATATGCTCATGAGCGATGGACTGTTGCGGGTATTTTGGCCGTATGACCTCCCACGATCCTCGTCCCCGGGTGTGATTGTCGGGTGGCGGAACTCGGAGCTTGATTTGTTTGTTCTCACGGTACTGGAAGATGTCGAGGTAGGTGGCTGCAACTGTCTTGTATGCTCGTTCGATATAAACTGATCATGCTTGTGATTGAATAGTCTAGGAATGTTGACAATGCTCTCCGGGCGGGTATTCTATTTCGAAACAGCCCTCACCCGATTGTGCGCATCTTCACTCTATGTGGACGCTCTCAGATGCATGTCCTCGGCTCGACCAACTCTCCCGAGTCTCCAACAACTTTCAACTCGTCCCACCTTGATGTGACTACAATTGCATCCCCGAAAGCTCCTCGCATCTTCTGCCCACCAGAGGCAAACCTGTCTGTCCAGGTTATCATGTACCACCGCCCGCACCCAACACGCATGGAATATATGTCGCTCAATCCGATTTCTCTGGCCTTGGGTGATAAAGCGACAAAGACAGAAATATGGGGCCCATCATCAGATAAGATCGAATCGGAGGAAGAGGGGGACAAGGCTGGGCCCAAGTCGTTGGTTGAGAAGCTCAAGCTTCATACGGTCGTCAAACACATCCCGTCACAGAAGGAGCAAGCCCTCCCGCTCATTATCAACCAAGTCAATTGTGCCTATGAGATGGCGCATCTCATGCATAAAAACAGCCATTTGATTGGAATTCGTGCGAAGAGAAGCATGAGTGTCGGGGAACGTGTCGTGGAATCGGCGACAACCTTGTGGGGTTTTATTGTCCTTTGTATTGCCCACGTCTTCTGGCAATGGCTTTGGCCTGTCGTTACCCGCATCTTTGTCGTCGGGCTTGTATGCCACCGGTCTGTTGCGGAAATTGTCTTGCGGGTTCTCGAGTGGCGTGCTCGGCCTGATGCTGCTGCTCTCAAGGATATCTCAGCAACAGCCCAACAAGTTGATATAAGGTTGCAGCAGTTTTGTTACTGGCCGATTCAATATGTCAAGCTTCGGCAACGAAAGGATAACTGGGAGAGTGTCACGACCAGTCATCCAGACTATATTCGGTTCTATAACAGTCTGTGGCTTGTCGCCAATGATGTGATTATCGGGATTGCGTTGGGATCCTACATTATCGACAACGCGAACTGGGTCGCTTCGCAAATCAACACTGTCTTGACTGGCTGGACAGTGGAGGGGTTACAGCGCACCATTTCGTGGTTAATGGATTGGCCAGCTGGCTTGAAACTAAACAATGAGCTTGCGGCGTTCCTCGGTGACTTGTTCCTATGGGTCATTGAAAACTGGGCAGCTTGCATTGCCAACCTTCAACCTTACCTTCCTGCTGTCATCTACATTGTTGGATGTTCAAGCTTTGCGGGGGCTAGCATGCCCATCGCTCTCTTCTCCGACCTTCTTTCGATTCTGACGGTCCACATTTACTCCTTCTACATTGCCTCCGCTCGTATCTTTAACTGGCAACTCACCATTATCATTTCTCTCTTCCATCTTTTCCGTGGAAAGAAACGCAACGTACTCCGCAACCGAATCGATTCATGTGACTACGACCTCGATCAACTCCTCCTTGGCACAATCCTTTTCACGGTCCTATTCTTCCTACTGCCCACAGTTGTGGTGTTCTACCTAACCTTTGCCTCGGCCCGGATGTTAATTATATCAATGAAGGCAGCGCTTGACACCTGCCTCGCATTCTTAAATCATTTCCCGCTCTTCGCATTGATGCTCCGCGTGAAAGACTCACAACGGCTACCAGGTGGTATCCGATTCGAGCTTCGGGGTGAACCAGACAAAACCGCAACGGAAACGGACTGGTCTGCGCTGGTTTCTTACATCCACCTCGAGGTATGCCCCCGTATTTACCCAAGCATCGCCTCAGAAAACTGACACACATGCTAGTCTATTCCCCTCCCCCTGCGTGCAATGTTCGATCAGTACTTCCAGCTGGGCCACCGGCTCCGAAAACACTACCTCGCGCCTCGTGTTATCTTCTGCCTTATGACCGGCCGCTTTGTGCCACCCATCCACCGCCGCAACCTCTATAGCATGCAATACAGCATGCTACCTGCCCGTCGGGCTGGTATGGCAGAGGTGTGGACATTGCTCACCCAGCCCAAGAAGGGCAGTAGTGGAAGCAGTGGCTCTGGCTCTATGGGTGGAGGTATTGGATCTTTGAGTCACCCGATAGCCAAGGTCCCGGCGAATTACGGTCAGGGTGATCTTCGGAGACGGGGTCATCGCTGATGTCAATCCACGAACTCATCTCGTACATAATGCCGATAATGTTCTTATCGTAAGTTAATATTCTTAAAATTTCCCTTGCCAGAATAAAGTAAAATAGATAAAGACACCCTAGGAGCAGAATGGGGATATCAGTATATTTAGTTAAAAGGTGAGATATGCTATGTACACAGAATGCTCTCCCAAAAGGCCACGCCGTTGAACTCCTGACCACGAAATTACATAGTATACATGGAAAATGCACGTCATCGCTGAACAGAACAAATGGCGCCAGAGCCAGGCTGCTCCTACAATCCTCCAAGAGGAAGAGGGATTCACAGAGGAGCCAGATTCCCCTACTCATGATTTCTTGAGGAACTCTGCGTCTGTTTCACTGCTGCCGCTCTTTCGGGCATCATCCACCATGGCATCAATGCCCCGTTCCTTGAGAACTTTCTGCAAGCATTACGATACCTGTCAGACATATTGAACGACTCGAGATATATGGAGATATATAGAGAGCATAGCACAAGAGAGGACTCACGTTCAAGCAACCCTTGTAGTTCTTAAATAATGCTTCGCAGTCATTGGATGAAGTGTTGCCACGCAGATATTCTGTTCTAGCATTAGCTGCTGATATTTATGCCAATGATCGAAGGGCATAAATACATACTCTCGCTATACCACTTGAGGAAACAAGTGTCATATTTCCTAGTAGATATATTAGCTTTTGATTTAACATGTGGAAACTAGGTATGTTCAATCAAGACTCACTCTTTGATATCGTTACATTCGGGGGCGATAGAAGCTGCCATATTGGGCGTAATAGGAGATTATTTATTCAAATAATATCCCGCAGACCTTGTACTCTTCTTGCTAGTCGAAATTTGAGTATTTTAGGGATATGAGAGGAAAGAACGCGGTGACGACTCGAAGATCGGCGGAAGTTCATACAAATATCGCCACGCTGGGAAGGCGGTCAGGGCGGGCCTACCATTTCTCCATTTTCTCGCCGCGACTTTTTTTTCCGTGACCTTGGATTTGGATCTACATGTCACTGCTATTCTGCGTTTCTTTCCCTCATTCTTATTTTCGCCAGATCCAGTGAACTGGAGCTCTGCTAGTCATCATGGACTCTGCAGAATTTGCCCCGTTCCAGGACAAGTTAACTTCTGCTCTGGTGCAGGTGACTCGAACTGTCGGACAGCTCTCATCGGAAGACCTGAACTTCCATCGCACCTCAAGCGCAGAGTTTTCCGAGTCGCTAGATGAACAGAGCACGCGCATCATTGCGCTGACCTCCGCCGTTATCAAAGCTGCCACCGCCGGCACCGATGTGACGGGACCAGCCCTCCACGATGAGGATTCCGTCGAGGACAATTGGCGTGGCGTGGTGGATGTGATTGACTCGCTCTTGGAAAAGGCCGATGCCTGCTTGGATGAATTCACTGGTGTGATTAAGAAGCTCAGTCCTTCGCAGGAAGAACAGGCACCGATCAAGAAAGCGCCCAACTTCCCGACTATTTACGACTATGGCCCCTCCAAGATCCCCAAGCCGCAATTGCTGTTCGATCGCAAACCTGATAACACTGATATTGGCCCCTTCAAGCCTCTTCTCAAGACCAAGCCTCATGCGATTGTTCCGTTGGAGAAATGCTTGAAGACCAAGAAGATGGAAGGTGGAATTGGTTATCCTCACCCCTACGAGGCGGAGATTGTTGCTTCGGAGTACCCAAAGCCGGTCTACCAGGTCTCCCCTCCCATTGAGTTTTTGCCTTTCGAGAGCACCACGGCTACTTTCGTCGATACTTTGGAAGGAGTCAAGGAAATGCTGAAGGAGCTCAAGAAAGCGAAGGAAATCGCTATCGATTTGGAGCACCACGACGTGCACTCCTACCACGGTCTTGTCTCTTTGATGCAAATCAGCACCCGCGACAAGGATTGGGTTGTGGATACCTTGCGACCCTGGAGAGAAGATTTGCAGATGCTGAACGAGGTTTTTGCGGATCCGAAGGTATTGAAGGTCCTGCACGGTTCCACCATGGACATCATCTGGCTGCAACGTGACTTGGGCCTGTATGTGGTTGGGATGTTCGATACTTTCCACGCTGCATCTGCACTGGGTTTCCCAAAGCGAAGCTTGAAGTTCCTGCTGAGCAAGTTCGTCAACTTCGAAGCTGATAAACGGTATCAGACGGCTGATTGGCGGGCTCGCCCACTTCCACCGGCCATGTTCGACTATGCACGATCTGATACGCATTATCTTCTTTACATCTACGACCGCCTACGAAACGACCTGATCGACAACTCCACCGAAGAGGCGAGCCACATTGATTACGTTAACGAGCGGTCTAAACATGAGGCCCTTCAACGTTATGAACGTCCTGTTTACGATGCCGTCAATGGACATGGCCCTGGAGGCTGGTACGATCTGTTGTGGCGCAATTCGGGCAACCTTCCCAGGGAGCAATTCGCTGTCTTCAAGGCTGTTCACCAATGGCGCGATGAAGTAGCGCGCGCTGAGGATGAGGGTTGGCAGTGCGTTTTCCCCAAGCACATGCTTTTCAAGCTTGCCACAATTATGCCGCTTGATATGGGATCACTATTCCGAACCCTATCACCCATGACTCCCATTACGAAGGAACGGTCACACGATCTGTTGGAGGTTATCAAGCAAGCCAAGCAAGCCGGTCTTGATGGTCCGGAATGGCGCGATGTGGCACCCCCG